TCCTCTGCTTCTGCCATGGATTATTTCAACTACAGCTTTCTACTCGGTTAGCCTACCCATCCCTTTTCACACTCAAACTTTCAGAATTGTAGCAGAAGGACAGAAATGTGGGACAAAGAGTTGACCTGAGAATTCCTTGTGTTCTGCTGTTCGTTATCTCATCAACAGCAGTTCAAAACATTTATAATCTTGTTTCTAAGTCTAGTTTTTAACACTGCAAACAGCATAAGCTATTAAAAAGAAAAAAAAAAGTGAGAGAGAAGTTGGAGAAACAGAGGTTTCATTCTGGGCCTTGCCAGATCCGTAGAGCCATTTTCTAACATTTGCACTGAAGAACAGGCTGTTATTCTCCCTGAACTATTAAATGCAATAAAAGACGGCATCAACAATTTACAAGCAGTTTGACCCCACTGCTAAACTGCAGTACAACATTAGTGATCTTGATTCTATTCTAGTCCTGAAAAAGAAACGGAGTCCAGTCATTACAGACAGATCAAATAAGTACATCAAAGAAACACTGATGCGCACACATGTTTAAAAGCAGCAAGACTGGAGTCAGCCACACAGGAGATGCGGATTGTGCCTCTTGTTCTGCCAAAAGTAACCTCTGAGGTCCCAGTTTTAAAATTAAAGAATGATAGTTGCCTTATTCCCAAAAGTAAGCAAGTGCTCAGACATGTACACACATATGAATAGCATTTTAGCTCATGACTCCTGAGATCTCTTAATTTAAAGTGATCGACATGTACACACATATGAATAGCATTTTAGCTCCTGAGATCTCTTAATTTAAAGTGATTGCAAATGTTTGCTTTGTTACCGTCACAGGTAACACAGGAAAAGGCTGTGTTGTTCCATGTCAGGTAGCAGCCCCTGGCTCCATGCGGGGCCACAGGCAGTGTTGGGAGCGGGGGCAATCCCCTCCATCTCCTAAATTAAGAAGGCTTTGCCATCCCTCCAAGCTCTGCTACAGCCACATGCCAGAAAAGGCTGCTGGCAAATTTATTTCTTCACCAATAAAATAGCGTCACATTCATGTACGTTTGCACGGAAGCTTCCGCACGTTCCACACAATTTGGGAATCCCTGCACCAAATCTAAAACACATTAAATGAGAGCTTCCTTCTCCCTTCTGTGAACTACCACCTGGGCTTTCCAGAAGAGGGAGACTAATTCAGCTGAACAGGACAACATAAATCAGGCTGCAAGATCTGACTCAGGTCTATACTCTCCCACTGGTCTGAAATGACATCATCCAAAATGCCCTCATGTCCGTTCACAGAACTTCTGGCTCCGAACTAGAAAGAATTAGTCAAAAAATGGAACAAAATACCATGAGCTATCAGGAGGAGGTACACACACACTTAGTTTGTTCCTTCATCCCGCATCCCACAAACTATGCAGTGCTTTTTCCTACCATTACTCTTCACTAACTCCTCAACAGAAAATACCAACCATCTGAATTCCTGGCGGGGGGGGGAAAGGAGGACTATTTTGATGAGAGGAGTGCATCTATGCACACACAGAAAAAGGCAAATATCTCATCAGGAAAGAACCAATTAACAGGGCTGTGGCAACAAGTCCCTTTTACACTCCGTCCTTTAGTTGTGTTCTGTCGTTCTACTCAGGAAACTAAGCTATGATTTTCAGAGAGACTCAGGAAATCAGGCATCCAATGCCTAATTTACAGGTTTTGTCCACATTATTCCCACTGGGACATATAGTAACTTGTGAAACAAGTATTACATCCAGTCTGCAGTCTTAGTGGGAATCTGAGGTTAATTACTTTTTCCGGCGATATTTGGCACAGGAGGGAGCCAGATGTACATCGACAGGTACCTTGCATAGGTTACAGCTTTCAGAGCTAAGATATTTCAAATACCAGCTAAGCGCATCTTCTTGCTCAAACTACTTCACATCTTCCTGCCTCTTTCCCCTTGCACTGTTTGTCAGTACTGAATATTCAGACTACAAATTCTTCCAGTCAAAGACTCTCTTACTCACGTTGTGCACTCTAAAGCTTTATGTTTGTCAATCTACACACATTATGAGCAAGCTGATACTCGTATTTATTTCATTAACAAATGCTGTGATTTTAGGCATTCACACCAAACACAAAATGTTACTCCAGAAGAAGAATCCCACTGCTATGCTGAGGATGACCATGGCCACATAACGGGGAAAATGGTAGCTGTGGGTGTTTTGCCTCTATGCCCTGTCAGCTCAATATACTCCTACTACACTGATTAATGTCAGCCCTTTTGTCAGTCTGCTGGGCAGCAGCTTGCAATCACTGCTGTCATAGACTCCCAGGACAGGATCACAAGAACTATATACCAGGAAGGAAGTCCAACAGACAGAGCTCACTCCAGGCTCAAATGCCTATCAGTGTGCAAACTGAACTCCAGTTTTAGTCCCTGGTGGCGTAATACCCATTTCTTAAAGAAAGGAATATGCCAACAGTTCCAGGAGGACACTAACCTAAAAGAGACCCAGAAGTTTAGGACTCATAGCTTACAATTCATCTGAGCTAGCTTCAACTGTCTAAAAATAAAGTGTCCAAGGCTAAACTAATCCTCTAGGCTATTTTTATGGTGAATAGAGAAAGACAGGCACCTCAAGAAAGAAGATAAATGGCTACGCTAGCTTGCCCAGCACTATTTCCTCTCTCATCCCATCAACTACAGAGGGAGCCTAGAGAAACAACTTCAGCTCAGCTCGCTTCCAGAGTGCTAAAGACTCCTTCACTTGAAGTCTGGATTGCTGGGTATAGGGTATTTGTGAAGGAATTCCGCACTGGGATGGTAAAAACCACTTCTATTTGTAGTTATCCCATTCTAAGCACTACTCTGATTATTCCTGTCCTTTATAGTTGTCTCTAGGGTGATTTTAATTAAGGCTTCTTCTATAAATGCTGAATATGTCATTGTAAAGCTCAGAATAAAGTGTTTGTCATCTGGTAATTAAAATATTTAATTAAGAACTAAATATTGTCCTGAAAGTATAAAATACTCAAGTAATCCTCAGAGGTAAACCTATCTAATCTGCACCATGTTATACAAATACGTGAATAATTCATGGACAACCTATATTTTGTAAGTCAGAGAAAGGAAAGTTAACATCCCTATTAGTAAAAGTGAATTTATTTCTCTTGCCTTAAGTCTAGTCATGGTCAGTATTTATATATACATGATTGCATCTTAAAAAACAACAAACTGAATTTTCCAGAGACAACATCAAACAGGATAAGATGCATCTCCAGAACCAAGGCTTTTCTGCACAGGTGTCCTAGATTTCTGTGGGGAGTCTGGTTTTATCACAGCCTAGATTTTTAAAAATATATATAAAGAGATGCATTAGCACTGCTACTACAAAAGGGTGCAAGGGGTGCTCTAAATCTTAGCTGAGCCAACAATTAGGCTTTCTTGGCAGCTATGCTAGCAGCAGCCACGAATTTAAAAAAAAATAAAAATAAAAAAAAAGAGGAAGAATTGAAATCTCTTACGCCCCGGCACACCTGCCTGCCTCCTGCTACCTGCTGCCCCCGGCCCACCCTGAGGGAGGAAAGCCGAGGGCTCAGGGAGGAGGGAGCGGGAGGGCCGGGGGCAGG